CAGCACTTGGCTGTGACTGACACAAACTTTTCAACACTCTTCTCAGTGGTGTTTGTTGCAGCAAATTCTATCCAAATGCCGAAGGAGAAATGGCTAGTGGGAAAACAAGACAGTAGTCTGGACTGCCTCATTACAGCTGCTGCATGGATCTGGTGACAAGGAGAGGGTCAGCCTGGAGTGCCCTGCTGTTGAATTGGTGGTTACTGGGTGAGTGACCTTGACTGAAAACGCCAGAGTGCAGACAGAGACAAGTCAGAGTCTGCCAGGTCATCAGTTCTGAGGGCCCCACTGTTTCCAGAAGATCCCAAGCCACTGTCCTGACAAACATGAATAGATAAGGGCTCACAGAGCTGCCCAATTGTGGGTACCCTTAAAATATGCCCTTTGGGCCACACTAGAAACCCTTCTTCAGGGAGAATGCTGCTTCTGCATTGGGTGCCCAACATGGGCCTCAGGATTTCCTCATATGACTGGGCATTTTAGATGGGCAGCAGCATGTACATGTCAACAATCTCTGGCATGGAGTGAGGATTTGCCTTGGGAGTGGTCCAGAGCATGAACCCTGGAGACTCACGGTCCCATTTCAATTCTGACCCACCACTGTGTGATCTTGGGCAAGTTTCTTCACCTCTTTGGCCCTTAGTTTTCTCTTCTATATGATGGAGATGTGACTAATATCTACCTCATAAGGTTGTTAACCCATGTAAAGTTCTTTTTTTTTTTTTTTTTGAGATGGAGTCTCACTCTGTCACCCAGGCTGGAGTGCAGTGACACAATCTTGGCTCACTGTAACCTCAGCCTCATGGGTTCAAGCGATTCTCCTACTTTGGCCTCCGGAGTAGCTGAAATTATAGGCATGTGCCACCATATCTGGCTAATTTTTGTATTTTTAGTAGAGACAGGGTTTCACCAGGTTGGTCAGGCTGGTCTCGAATGCCTAACCTTGTGATCCTCCCGCCTCAGCCTCCCAGAGTGCTGGGATTACAGGTGTGAGCCACTGCACCCAGTCAAGTTCTTAAAACAGTATCTAGTTCATAGTAAGTGCTATGTGAGAATAAGCTGTCGTTATTATTACTACCATGAGGAAAGACAAGTTGGCCCAAAGATGGAATCTCAGGGTAAGATCAGGGAGTGACTCCAAGGGCAGCATCTCTAGTCTAGGCTGCCATAAATTCACATCTGATTCCTGGGAAGAGCAGAGAGGCTGCAAGTTGAAATTCAGAGAGGTTTTCACCAAAATTCTGTGAGACAATGGGGCTTGGTGCTGGTGTCCTGACAGGACAGGAATGAAGGCAGGTCTCCCTCTTGGCAGAGAGCACAGCCATTGATGTGGGATTCAGCAGAAAGCCACGGTGTCTAGCAGGGAATGTGTGCTTTAAGAGCTGACTGGGCTTGCTCTGGACTGGGCATGCTAGACACCCTTGAGACTTCCTGAAATAGCTGAGAGGGACATTGCAAGGGGGAAGGTCTCATATGAGCAGGAGGTATGAGGGTCTTAAGACCCAGGTTAGATTTATGTTGGACACCAGTCCCTTGGATGATAAAAGACCAAGGGCCCTGGTGCCAAATGGACATGGTTTGAACCCCACCTCTGCCACTTACGAAACTGCAAATACTTGGAGGTCAGGGACCATCCTGTTCATTATGGAGCATATAGGATTCAATATATGGATGAATGAATTTAATATTATGGAACTTCAGTTTCCTGTCTGTAAAATGGAGGTAATGTAATGACCTCTGAAGAAGATGCAAGGATTATACCAGACAATATACACACACATCCAAGTTCCCTAAAGAATATTAGACTCTTTTTTTTGTAGTAAACATTGAATATCTTGCTTAGGAGAAAAAGTCAATGCATTTGTTGACTCAAATTGATTAATGCTGTTTTGGTGCAGTAAATGTAGTTTACATCTGCCAAAGACTAGATCCTTTAAAGGAAGTGATCATGCCTCTTATAGGTTTTTCCCAACATGATCAGTGCTTTTAAGAGTCATTTATAATTCAGCGCTTTCTGACAAAAGTCAAAATATACTAAGTTATTGGAGAGTGCTATTGAATTTTGGGGGAGTAAAAGGTCACAGTTATATGACTAAATAATCTAAATAGATTATGGTCTGACCTAGAAAAGGTGTATATAGGAAAAATTTGACTTGTACACAAAAAATTATAATAGGTAAACACTATACATCCTTATTAAGCCTTTTCTTTCTATGCCCACTTAAGGTAACTTTCTGACCAATCTCATTCAGGCAATCTTGGAATAGGGTTTTTAGTTGCTTCTGTGCCCACGAAATTGTCCTCAAGAAATGACCAAATAATAGAAAGGGCCTGTTTCATGCTTGGTCCTCACTTCCTATCTTGACTCTTTCCAGTTAATCCTCCATGCTATGCCACTGGAAGCCGAGTACTAACGTATTAAATCTGACCAAGTATCTAAACCTATTAAGCCTGACATCAAGTTTATACCCATAATCTAATCAACAAGTTGTGGTTTGCAGGTGATCCATTCCTCTCCTACGGAACAAAATGAATGGGTGTTGCTGTTGCTGTTCTCTGTGGAATCAGAATAATCTCTAGTTAGCTTGTGGGGGTTGAAATTATATTTTGAATGACTGAAATTGCCTGCTATTTAATTGTCAGATAAAGATGAGGATGCTGAATTTAATTTTTTGAAGGGGAGTGAAGCACGTGCCAAATGTATTGCTGATCTCAATATGCCTTAATGTGACCTGATTATGTATTGCTGTCAACTCATTGAATCAAAGTGTTTGTTTTTACATCAATTTTATAAGGCCCAGAGTATGTTTGACAGTAAAATCATTGCTTGAAAAGTTTCCTCAATTCTGACATTCGAGTATGTTTGACAGTAAAATCATTGCTTGAAAAGTTTCCTCAATCCTGACATTCTCCAATACTGTTTCAAGGTCAGAGAGACCTTTCTGCTAAGCAGAAAATATTTACTGGTGTAGGATACATTTACTTAAACAACAAGCCAGAACTGCTTACTAGAAGCTGTGTTGAGCATATCAATCAAGTGGTTTGAATAACAAAATATAACAAAATGTGAATCACACACAGCCAGATGGAAGCTTTTATCAACTTTAATTGATATAATTATAATTGGTATGCAATATGTCTTACAATGAATGTGAATACAATGACATCAAATATCAAAGTTTTCCATCTTTCCATCTTTAAATGATACCAGCTAACTCGCCCCAAGAGAGAAATGACATTGATCTCTTGGTTAGCATTATTACAATATCAACTAGCACTTTTAAAATCAAAGTTGAATGGTACATTCATTTGCCCAAAAAAAAAAAAAAAAAAAAAAAAAGTTAAAGGCCAAGAAGGTGAATCAACGTGCAAATTAGCATCTGGCCTGACTGTAAAATTCATTTCCTGGATGCAAGAGATTGAACCATGCATACTTGCAAGCAAGATGAAGGGCAAACAGATGACATCAAATCAAAATCAACCCCACGAAGAATCCAGAAGACCTCATGTGGGAAAGGCTAGAGGTCTACTACTATTCATGCTCAGATATCTATCCTGTTTTTCCTAATCTCCTGATTCTGATTCAAGAGTCTTTGAGACCTGTGTCCTAGGCCAACCTTTCATCTAGAAATGGAAACCATCGCTGTGACCCCAGGCATGGTCAACTCTGCAGTGATTCAGCTGCATGAAGGAGTAGTCCAGAGCTTAGACAGCTGTCAGATGTGGATAGAACACAACTGTCATTTGACAGAATAAGTAAAAACAACATAGAAGTATTATAGCAAACAAGAAACTGAGATCACTTATATATCTATGTAATAGTTAAACTGTCTATAAGTATTTTTCTCCAGAAACTGAAAATACCATAGACATGATTTTATTAATCCTCACATCTGTGAGGTAGTATGGGGTGAGGTCGATATGAAAGCATCACCCCCGTTTTAGAAATGAAGACACAGACGTTCAGGGAGGGCAGGAGGTTTCACTGGGGCCACAGGAAAAGAAAATAAAGTTGAATCCCGCTTTTCCATCATCTGCCGTTGATGGTCAGGAAGAGGCGGCTTGCCTTGCTCTGACTTTCTCTCTGAAGTGTTATGACTAGACCTATCCATGAGTGGGACATGATTGTTTACCAGGCGTCCCCAAACTACGGCCCGCGGGCCGCATGCGGCCCCCTGAGGCCATTTATCGGGCCCCCTGCCGCACTTCAGGAAGGGGCACCTCTTTCATTGGTGGTCAGTGAGAGGAGCACAGTATGTGGCGGCCCTCCAACGGTCTGAGGGACAATGAACTGGCCCCCTGTGTAAAAAGTTTGGGGATGCCTGGTTTAGACCTACTGGATCCATTTCTCTTAGGTAGACCTGAACAGGTGCTCTCCCTGAGGTCAAGGATGTCAATTATCATCATATGTTTCAGGTGTGTCTGTATGTGTGCGTGTGTTTTCAGTAACATTTGTAGAATGTAGTTGCTAAAATCCTTTGTCCAATTCAAAAGCAGAAAAGATACATTTGGCAAAATAAGGTTCAAACCTTAAATATTTTATACTCACATAACATAAGGAGTGTTAGAGTCGTTATGGGAAGCTGTTGCCTTGCTGAATACATCTGATCTAGGTCCACATCCCTCTCTTTGCCACGCACATTTGGAAGCTAATAACAGCAACAGACCCATTATGTGCCCTTGCACAACAGCAGCCTTCAGTTAAAAAAAAAAATGACTGCCTCAGTCCGTGGTTTATAGAAGGCCATGGTTCCTGGGAAGAGGCTGGTCCCTTACCCCCGTGTTTATGGCAGACGCAGCATTCAGAAGTGCACTTCTCCAAAGGTGTTTCACAAACATTGTGTCAAAACGTTTTTGGCCATTGGAGAAAAAAACATATGGAATATCCTGTTTTTATCTGCTTGTCCTTTGCCAAACTGAAAGCCCTATGAAGGGGGTGGGGAAAGAGAGATAGTTACTCAAGCCAAGCATGGCCAGAAGGGGCATCCTTGGTCATTTGCTGCCCTTTTTTTTTTTTTTTTTTTTTATCTGAGAAGGTCCACTTTTTTGGTTGGTGGTGTTTTATTCACTATTCAGAGATATCACAATTTCAGTAAGCCCCTTCCTCATTACCCACTCTGGTTGTAAAATATCTCTGGGGCTTGCTCATTCTCCGTCTGCACTTAAAGAGTTTAGGAATAATATTTTCAGAATTACTCCAGGTTGTAAAAAGTGGCACTACCCCTACTGTCTCTGAGACCAGAGGGGTATCGAAAAGCAAGGGTGGTTTGCATGTCGGTGTTTGCCAGGCCACAGCCAGAGACAGGACGCCCCAGAGTCAAGTTCCTGTAAGCCAAACAGTCATGGTAGCAAGGTCCAACTTTACAAACAAAAGTCCATTTTCAAGTTCTTTATGACATTGTAGGACAAGATAACACATTTGGAAGTCAGACCCCATGTTTGTTTTCTACTACATGACATCAGGACATAAGATGCTGCTTGCTAATATCAGCTGTTACAGGAAGACAAGAGTTGTAGACATGAAATAAAGCTCTCTAGGAAGCACACAGAAATAAAAAGGTCACCATGCATACCAAGAACCCTTCAGCCAATAAACTAAACACTTTGGAGATAAAAACTTAATACATCATTTCATTTTGTTAAAAATAAAACTTATCCCTAATCTGTGAGTGTCTTGTTCTGTCACAGTGGACACTGTGATAAATCAGGGCTTCTCAATCTCAGCACTATTGATATTTTCGGGTGGGTAATTCTTTGCTGTTTCAGGTTGTGCTGTGCATGGTAGAACATTTGGCAGCATTCCTGGCCTCTGGTAGCACCCTCAAGTCATGACAACAAAAAATGTCACCAGACATTTTTGAATGTCCTAGGGTGGAGGCAGGGGGCAAAATCACCTCCTGGTTGAGAATGATTGTAATAAGTGGATGCCTATGAAGAGGAACAATTCTTTCTCAAAATTTGTTGTGCAGGATTTTAAGCCTATATACCCAGGGGTGCTCATTTATTAAAGGGAAGAATTAGTAAGGTAAGTGTATGGGAAGAATAAACAAATTAATTATAGTCTGTTTCCTATGAAAATGTCTCACTGAGTAATTGAAGATAGACTAGTGTCTCTTTTTTGTTTTGTTTTTAAACAGGTTTACAGCCATTATCCAACCGACAGTAAAGCAGTGGACCAGTTGCGGCGTGGGTATAAAGCCAAGAGTCTCTGGCCTCCTCCAAGCTGTGGATGCCTCTGGCCATTATTGACAGCTGATTCCCACTTTCCCTAATGAGGTACTCAGTGCAGGCTAGCCTCCTCTCCCCCTACCACTTCTTTTCCACTTCCCCACACTGTACATGCCTCTCCCTTTCTTTATATAACTCAGCTCATCTCATAGCCCTTTTCTTTGGGAATGCAACTCTGCTGATCGCTTGTGGGCTGGGATCCCAGCTGCCTTTTGAACAGAGCAGACATCCTTTACAGAGACAGGTGGCCTGGAGGGGAGAACAGGTAGGGGCACACTGAGATCCCATGGCAACCTGCTATTCTGCCCTTCAACCTGCTGGCCTCCTCCAGGGCACTTCCTATTTTCATCTTTCATTAATTAGGCAGCTAAGAAGCGGCTTTCCAGCTTGTAGAGCCAATCAGGCAGCATCCTGTCAGAAACAACCAGATAAACAGATTAAAAAGGAATCTGAGAAAACCCCGCTTTCTCCCACGCAGGGTGAAATCCTCATAAAGCTCATTTCCTTTCCCCTCATTGATATTTAATGTAATTTCCTAAATAGAAGTTTAAGAAATAACACAAATGAAATGTTCCCCTGAAAGTAATCCCTGACAAAACAATCCAAATCCTCTTCCTCGGTCCTTCTCAAAGTGGGTCCTGAAGTGGGAGAAGAAGCCTCCACCAAGGTGGTCTGGCCTGGCTGGTGCAAGGCCGGCCCATTTCAGCTGCAAATCAGCCTCCACTCACCTTTAAGCAGTAGTTCTTTTTGTACCAGAAAGGGGAAGTTGTAGCAGCCAGAGGAGAGGGAGGAAAACAAAAACAACCATACCAACAAAACAGGGCTGAAGATTGTCGTTCAATGCGCATCAGGTACTTATTAATTCTACTGGATAAGCGCTTATAAATAAAGAACAGTCAATCCTCATCCAGGGCCATCTTCCGTTGTTAGGAGTCATCGTACAGGGGGTTGTTGTAGTTTCCCCAGGACCCGTAGTCGTGGTCATCCAAAAGCCTTCCATAGGAGGAATGCCTGGTGGAGAAACAGAAGAGGGCTGTGATTACCTGGAAAAGTTGCCCATCTGAGGACAGCCTAATGCCCTGCATGGAACTGGGGATGCTTATAGGGCCAAGGAGAGGGAAAAGTGTGATGCTCTCACTAGGACAACAGACCCAGCCACTGTGGAGGTCCTGGTCTACCAAACAGCCTGTCAGTGACAACTCTTCCTGCTGGGATCCCAACTGGCACCTCCGGTTGGGGTCACCTGAGTCCTTGTCATTTCCTGCATCTCCAGTGCTGGGGAAGGAATGGAGGCCCCATTTCCATGGTAATTTAACAAGAAGGGATGGGAAAGGGAAGCTTGCCTTCCTAACATCCTGACTTAGGTTCTGGGCTTAATTCTCCCTGAAATAATGATGACACAACCACAACCACTGTTGCTATCACCACCTCTCCTGACATTTATATTGTCTTATAATTTACCAAATGCTTCTCTATTGAGTTTTTATTTGATCCTCAAAATGAAGCCATGGGCAGGTATAGTTTATACTTATTTCTCTGAAAAGGAAAATGGGGCTCAGAGATGTTAATTGGAGTCCCCAAAGTCATCCAACTGAGCTGTCAGCCAATCCCCATCTCCTGTATCTAAGTCCAGTGCTCAGAGCTCAAGTTCCCAAAGTCTTATTAGCACTCTAGTTGAATGGCACTATGGGTTAAGCAGAATTTGGTGGATAATTAATTGTAAGACCCTCTCTCATGATTAATAATATATCTATAAGAAACTGAAATCAGATTGTCATCATTCCTCTGTTCAAAAGCTTTGAATGGCTTCTCACCTGAGTAAAAGACAAGTTATTAAGATGCCTTACAAAGCCCTATGGGTCTGGCCCCAGCTACTTTTCTGAGCATACCAGCCCCTATTATATGACCCTTGCTCCCTCTGCTACAGCCATACTGGTCTCCTTCCCTTCACTCTCATGCCTGACACAGCTTTGCCTCAGGGCTTTTGCAGTGACTGTTTCCTTGGCTTGGAACAATTGTCCTCCAGGTCTCCACACAGCTCATTCTCTCATTTTCTTCAAGTCTTTGCTTAAATGTCACCTTCTCAGTGAGGCCTTCCTTAACAACTTGACATGGTTTGGCTGTCTCCCCACCCAAATCTCATCTTGAATCATAACTCCCACAATTCCTAAATGTTGTAGAAGGAATCTTGTGGGAGGTGGTTGAATTATGGGGGCGGGTCTTTCCTGTGCTGTTCTCGTGATAGTGAATGAATCTCCTGAGATCTGAGGGTTCTATAAGGGGAGGTTTCCCTGAACAAGCTTTCATTTTTTTTTTTTTTTTTTTTTTTTTTTTGCCAGCCACCATCCACGTAAGACGTGACTTGCTCCTCATTGCCTGCCACCATGATTGTGATGCTTCCCCAGCCACGTGGCACTGTAAGTCCAATTAAACTTCTTTCTTTTATAAATTGCTCAGTCTTGGGTATGTTTATCAGAAGCATGAAAACGGACTAATACACAATTCAAATTTTTAACCCCCACCCCCAGACTCCTAGCTTAATATTTCTCACAGAACTCATCACCTTCTGACACGTTATATAATTTACTTTCCTCTCTTCCGTAACTAGACTAAAACCTCCATGTAGGTATGGATTATTTGCCCATTGTGTTTATTCTTGGCTCTAACTCCAGGACCTAGAAGAATATATGACAGATAGTAAGTCCTCAATACGTGTTTATGAAAGAAACAGTGATTGAAAAAAATAAACCCAGAGTTACCCCCAAAACTGATCTGTTCATAAGAAGGGAGATTCCTGGAAAGGAATGTGATCATTTTAAGACTAAAGCTAATGGCAGGATTAAAAGAACATCACAAAATGAGATTTGATACCTCTAAGGTTGGTGCTAGCATATGAATTATTACACCTTGCCACTGGAAGTCATGTATGCTAGATACAGTTCAAAAAATGCCCACTTCCACTAATTTTTATCTCAACTACATGTGAAAATTAAACAAAATGAAAACAATCTGAGAGGTGTAAAAAGCACTTGTTATACTTCTATCTGTTGCTAAAATAATTGCTATTGCTCCTTTGACGCTTATTTACATCTGCCAGGTATTTCCAAAAAGATGATTTGTGTGTGTGTGTGTGTGTGTGTGCAAAGAACTAGGCCTTTGCTGTGCTCATTTCAAACTTTTTTTTTTTTTTTTTTTTTTTTGAGACGGAGTTTCGCTCTTGTCACCCAGGCTGGAGTGCAATGGCGCGATCTTGGCTCATCGCAACCTCCGCCTCCTGGGTTCAGGCAATTCTCCTGCCTCAGCCTCCTGAGTAGCTAGGATTACAGGCACGCACCACCATGCCCAGCTAATTTTTTTTGTATTTTTAGTAGAGACGGGGTTTCACCATGTTGACCAGGATGGTCTCGATCTCTTGACCTCGTGATCCACCCGCCTCGGCCTCCCAAAGTGCTGGGATTACAGGCTTGAGCCACCGCGCCCGGCCCCATTTCAAACTCTTAGACTTCAAAATTATGATTTATGTCCTGAAGGCTGACTCAGCTGACCTAATCTATATACCTGGAAACCTGAAGATGTTCCACAATTTACTTTGCTTTCCCTAAAGGCTCACATTCATTTCTGTGGGTATGGGAAGGAAAAAGACTACCAATAGCAACCCAGAAACACCACTGCCTTTTTGATCTATAGAAATAAGGGAGGTAGTTTTGGTAAACAACGGTCATGGGCTGTCTATGGCCAATACTCTCCCCAAATTTAAAACCTCCAGTTCCAATAAAATTCTTTAACAGGATGGTTGAGAAATGGAAGCTGTAGAATCAAGAAGCTAAAACCTGGTAACTACAGCACTGGAGCCCTGCCTAAATTTTAGCATGACTTACTGCTGCAAGCCTGGCAAACATCTACTTATAAACATGCTCCTTTATTGATGGGGTATTCCTGCTTCACATTTGTATGGTAATTGAACTTCTTATGGAATTTTTATCCCTATCATATAATTTTATTCCCAAAAATGTGAGTTTGGTCAATAAACATATTTCCTTAAGTACATTTTTAACCCACTGTTTCTTCATCTATAAAATGGAGAAACTTAAAAAAAAATTGCTTTAGGGTTGTTAGGAGAATTAAATAAGGTAATACATATAAAAGACCTGCCACGTAGTAAATGTGCAATGAATGCTGGCCAATATGTTTTTAAATTTTTAATATAATAAATCTTATGTAAGCACATGGTAAATCTGCCAAATAGTAAAAAATGTCATTGAATGAAAAGTGAACCTCCCTCCACTAGAAACTCTTGAAACTATATACCAGGTATAGTTATAAAGCCAGTTTTTTACATGATTGTTATTGTATTTGAATTTTTAAAATTTATTATTATGTTGGAATGGGGGTTAGAAGATTAAAAATCTCTGGTTGTCAGGTTTTATTGGCTATGGTTATTTTAGGCAAGACTATTTGGTTAATGTTATATCTGAATTTCCTATATTATAAGACACATCTCTTATACAAACATTAGTAAAATAAAGGAAAATGACTGGTCTTTATTTTATTATTATTATTTTTTTGCCTTCCCATTGAAGAAACAGTGAGTTGAATAAAATGCTGATAAGTGAGGAGAGAGATGCAAGAGATATGGATGAACCAAAATTGGGAATGCACTGAACCCATGGGGCTTATTTACCACATTAAGGAGCTTAAACAGGAAAAACTGAGTGTACTGGGATTCCAGCCAGGTTTGGATAAATGGGATACTATTGTTGTAAGAGTAAGGCAAACACATTTTTTTTTTTTTTGTATGTGGGATAAGAGGACAATGATTAGTGAGCGTGTTACAGTTTCTCTCTAGGTCAGAACTTCTTAAATCCTGGCACATTTTGGATGGAAATGGGGAGGTTTTCAGATTGGCATTTATAGAGAGTATGAGGTAAAAAAAACAAAAACAAAAACAAAAACAAAACAAAAAACAAAAAAACCAAAGACTAAAAAACAAAGCAACTCCCATTCCCAAGATTAGGAAAGTGAGATCCAAGGAATTTAGATGACTTTGTCAATGCTGTTCACTGGCAGAGCTGCTGTGGAAACCAATGTCTCTTTGTTTGCTTTATAAGGCAACATTGCTTTATCTAATTTCAATCTGAACAGCAATCCGTATGAATGATGTCATTGTCAGGTCAAAGCAATTTGATTTACTAAATGTCTTAATAAAGACTGGCACCCATCCAACAGAGCCATGGTTTCTCTTTGCTGTGTCTTGGCTCCTCTTAGATGGTAAACTTCTTAAGGGCAGACTATGTCCTACTTTTTTTCTAACTACCTGAACACATAATAGGTGGCTCTTGATATAATGGTTATTTTATAAATATTTGGTGATAACTGTTTATATCCAGCAGCATAGTGTATACAGAGTGTCTGTGGGGTTTGGCTATAACCAGCTGGGATTCATAAGGCCCATGGAAATTCATTGTACAGTATAACTGGAAAAATGAAAATATCCCATAAGGAAGACCGATGGTTAAAGCTACTCTTGACTTTAAACATAGGAAGGGAGGAGAATTACGGCTGGACTAGCAGGCGATGATGTGGCTTTAAAGCCCTTACCACAGTGCTCACAGCTCCTGTTAATCAATGGCACTGTGCTTATTGTCAATGTGATTCTAATGTATTGTATGCTGTAGTAAGCAAACTAAAATCCCAGGGGGTAAAAAGAGGAATGATTTCTTTTAAACTCTTCCCTCATTGCTCTCTTTCTTTAATGGCTTTGCTCTAATAGAAAGCAGCACTCCCCACTCCCTATCCTTACTTGGTGACCCTTTGTTGGTGACAAATGGTAAATGATGTGGTAACATTTGTGGTTTGAGGCCTTCTCCAATACCGCAAAATGGTACCTATTTAAAGACAACTGTAGCAACAATACTTAATGGAAAATAAGTGAAGTGTCCCTTTTCTTGTGTTGAAACAAAACATATTTTAGAAAACACACTGTCTTTTGTAAGGGTCAGCTCCAGTTCTCC